TCAGAGCTAAGGGAGAACACAACCCTGTGGGCACAATCAGGGCAGGATGGGGAAGATGGGCAGTGAAAAAGGGTAAAGGCCAAGGGGGCCAAGAAAGGGCAGAAGGATACAATGAAGGTGTAGGCAAAGATCTCCATCCATACTCTTTGATCCTTCTGTTCACTTTTCCACTTGAATTTTTAGTGGTATTACAGACAGTCTTTTTACTGCTGGGCATAAGGTAAATCTTTGCAAAATCTTTGAGACAGCAGTGTATGCCTGGCTGATCCCCAAAGACAAATCCTGTTTCTTCATGATCATGATTGCTCTTCAAAAGAAACATGAAGAGCTACAGGAAACATTGGCCAGGGAATATGTGGCAGGTTTTTTTTTGTTTGGTTGTGTTTTGTTTTGTTGGTTTTGCTTGTTTTTTTAAAGAGGAATCAGCCAACCCAGACACTGGTACAAAAATAGTTGGATATGATGAACTAAATGTCAAACTGTGAGAAGAATTACTCAAATTAGAGAAGCATAGACAGAAGAAGGTAAAGCAAACACCTCTTTCTGTGGGGACACTAACACGGCCAAGTATTAATTTTTGTAGATCTCCCAGTTTAAAGAGGTGTGCTAAGGGAGAAAGAAATCTGGGTTTGATATTTTGTACCATGGACTACAAAGGAATCACTGTGGATATATAAATGAAAGACAGCTGGGTTGAGGTTTCAGATCATCTGCACCCATCAGAAAGGCAGCCAGGCTCTGAGCACCATGCTCACTTGTTTGATAGCTGGACTAACACTCCACTCTGTCAATACTCTAAAGAGAGCCAGAGCAGAACCATGTTTTATTAAAAGCCTTAAATCACCCACATCAACACAGCAATAACAAAGAAAATGACACAGCCTGGAGGGAGAAGTCTTTGGTTTAAACAGCTGTAAGGACTTGTGGAGGAAAAGGAAGAGCCTGGGATAACCACAAGCCTGTCCCAAAGTCTACAAGACTATATAAGCAGAGGAAGTGAATGAATAACTGTGGCACATGGACGAGAGGCTGAGAAGTGCAGCCTGAGAGGTAATTGGCTCTATTGGTGCTCCTCTGATTAGCTGGTTTTGGCTACAACACTTGTCAGACCCACGCTGAGCTCCCAGCACAAAGGTATTCACGCTGCACTGAAGGACCTCTCAGATCAGCCAGTGGATCCCTGCAGAGAAACAGCAAACACAGATCTGAAGGATGTGGTCTCCAGGGAGCATTTCTAAATCCTTACTTTGTGTTACTAATTCCTTGTTATCCGGAGCTGGAAGAGAAAGGAGTCCTGGAATAGATTTAGATGCTCCTGCTACTTTTCACTACCTCAGAAATGAAGGAAAAGAGAGGAAAATTGATGATGCTTCTATGGAGAGAAATTTAAGAGCAAAGTCACATTAATCGTTGTGATCTGGATGTAGATGGTTCTAATTCTTTGCTAAAATACTGGTCTGAAGTGTGTTAATGAACCCATGCAGCAAGTAATGGCCCAAGAGATTAACTTGTCAAGATGGGAAGAAAAGGGCATATTGATGAATCTCCAGAGAGCCTCCTGGCAGAGAAGGTCTTAGATGGAGATGTCTCACAGAGGGCACAGCAGAAGATGAGCCACCCTGAGCCCTTAAAACAGCACTAAGCACAGCACCAGCAAACAGAAGAGAACAAGGAAATCAGGCCCTTTCAAGTGAGAGGTATTTTTATTTTTATGTGAAGACTTGCATACCTGCTGTGTCTGCTCCAGAGTCATGGCCAAGACCTCCTTTTGGCTCTTTCAGCTCTGAAGTCAGCTACATGGACTCCTGCTGTATCCTCAAAACACCAACACAAGCATTCTGCAGGATGTCAGAGAAATTCCAAAGAATGTTGTTACTTTCTGCCACACTCCAGTAATCACCACCAAAAGGAGGGTTGGAGAGCATCACCCAGAGCCAGCGTATGCCAGCAAATGCTGTTGTGTTTTCTGAGATGGCTTACTGATTGAAACACTCTTGCCAAATAAAAGAAGCTTAATTTAGACTATTAACAGTAACATTAAGGAAAGACACATCCATATTTGGGTGTGAGCTACCCATGTCCCTCCCTTTCTCACCCTGTCCTCCTCCCCAGCTGCTGCGTGGTGGCTGACTGAAATGTGAGGAATAACAGAACAGTTTACAGTTTAGATTAGATATTTCCAAAGCTGTTTGAGGACACTTGACCATCACTCATTTTGCAACACACAGTAAACAGAGATGAAGCTTAAGTATGAGGCTCTTCTACCCAAAACCTCCTATGTATACACAGAAGAAATAGCAATGGTATTTCACAGAAGCTAAGAATTTGCTTCCCAGGAGAAAACCAACAAACCTACAGTTGCAAATGTCTCATCAACTTCTTGGGACTCTATCTCTTCAGCAGCACTGCTGGAGCAATAACAAATCTTTATGTTGCTGCCTTCACCCAACATGAGCTTAATGATGCTGAAGCCACCAGGCTCTGGGGCCAATTGTGCCACTTGGAGAGACCAGAGAGAGACATGGAGAGACCACCTTGGAATAGCTGAACCTCTCTCCCATAATTTGCAGCACTTCCCTCTTTCTTCACACGACCCCCATGTCTCTGCCTATATCTCAAAGCACCATTTCTCAATGGGAACCTGAGGTTTGTACCAAGGAGCCCATGTACACTGGGTTGTAGAAAATGCTTTTAGGACTGCCCTAGCTTTGTCTGAAGTCAACATCAGCCTCAGTTTTTTTTTAGTTTTCTCCCTAGTTCTTATTTATGTGTTTAAAAACTACTGAATAAGGCTCTGAAACCTTCTCTACCACAGTTCAGTGCCTTCAGTTTCCAAAGCAAAATCGGGTTTTTCTGATAATTAGCATAAAAAAAACAAAGAAGAAAAAAAAAATGAGCTTGTTGGTCTGTTTGGATTTCCTGATTGTGTTTTCTCCAAAAAATTATATTCAGGATTGTTTTTGAAGCTTTTTCTTTTTCCTGAAAGTTGGAAGCAATTTCTCGGTCTTCAAGAAACAGATTATTTTAAAAAATCAGAAAAGCTCTATCTGTCATTCTGGAGTTTTTGAGAGGTAAAAAATCAAAATTTGTTTCTGTTTTAGCAAGAGTAAACTTTGATGTTCTTGCACAAAGCTATGATCAGATACATTGCAGGACCAAGCTATCATTAAATATGAATATTACTTTTGTTCAACTCTTCAGGACACTGCTAAGCCTGCTGAAACTATTCCAGAGGGAGACACTTGTCACAGAAGTCTTGTCTCACTGTCATGAACTTGGCTCAGTGTGATTCAGATTCATTATTTTGCATTTTATTTCAAACACCAGGCGTACATGGGGATCCCCCCTACATCGAGTACAGCAAGAACATGGAACAAAAAGGCAACTCCTGCTCTCCCAAGTCCTTGTAGAGGACTGGAGAGTCAGAGGGAGACAGACAGACAGAGAGACGGAGGAGGAGATTAAAGGAACCAGTCAGGATGTGCTGTCAAACTCTTAGAGTAAACATCACAGCTAGGGAGAGATTTAACTGGAGCCACGTCTTCCTGACATCCATATTCTAACAGAAGTTTTTAAGCGTCCCATGTCCATTCCTGACTATTATCCCCAGTGAGACCAGATGTGGGAAAAGGAGAATACTGAAATAGGAAGAGGCTATTTCGGGCTGTGAGCGGTGCGGGGCCCCCGGGGATCCTCGGGAGAAGCTCCACAGCAGCTCCTAAGCAGGGAGAGGGGTCAGTCCCTGAGCCAGTGCCAAAAAGCTGGAGAAGCCCGAATCTCCCTCAGCCAGTTCTAGGAGGAAAAGGTGGGAAGCAAAAATATATCGAGAGCTGCCTTGTTATTTTTACCTTGCTCACCCGATGCGTTTTGAAAAAAAACCCACAACAGCTACAGGCTGCTAGGAAGAGCTGCTCTCCTCCACTTGCAAGTTTTTCTCCAGCCTCATCTGAAGTGGGAGAAGTGGGTGACCAGGCTTACAAGCTTCCCCCCCGACACATCCTCCCTTTCCCAGGCTCTTCTTTCCCAGCAGAGGCTGTGCACAGCCCCTTGCTCCACCGGGACTCTCGCAGTTCCAGCATCCCATCGAGCCACCCCTTCAGCTCCCAGAGCTCCGGGTGCCCACCCCGGGAACCGGGGATACCTGGCAGCAGCTGCCCCACCCCGGGGTGTGTCTGCCCTCCGTATCTCCACTCTCTTACATCTTTGCACTCTCTGTCCCGTCCACCTCTTCCCTTTGCATTCCTTCCTCTTCGCAACTCTTTGCATCCCTCCCCTTTGTATCCCTCCCTTTTCACCTCCCCCTTTGCACCTCTCTCATTTACATCCCTCCCCTTTGCCTCTCTGCCCCCTTCGCATCTCTCTGCCTCTCCCCATCCCTCCCCTTTGCATCCCCGCTCCTCGCATCTCTGCCCCTCCGCACCCCCTGCCCCTCAGCCCCTC